CATGTCAACAGAACATTTTCTAGGTGACAAGATGGTGGATTATAAATATTTAATAACTAGAGTGTTTATCTTGAAATAGTGTTCAGTAATTAGAGATTTTTAGCAAACAATTGATTGTCTAGTCACAAATTTTGTCAATCAGTGCTTTGAGATTCAGATTTACGCCATTCTAGCATCTTTGTGAATTCATAATTGCCTTGTTTAGTCAATTGTCAATTTATACTGAAGCTAATTCAAAATTATTCCCATCATGCCATGGGAGTACCAAAAGTCTGGAACAGTTTTACTTTATGTTGTTCATAATTCTAATGGAATCTATTGAAAAATTCGGGTAAATATTTCTTTTATGAACTCAATTTTGCTTTGATGGAAAAAGTGCAATCTGAAAGAGCGCATCCTTTGGAATAAAAATTTGATTGGTGCTTTTATAGTCTGCCTTAATCTCTATAGTATGATTGTGCCGGAGAATTCATTTCAGTCTACATTCAGCTGATATCAAATTCAACAATTGAATCTAGTTGTGTACAGATAAATTTAAAAGATCTTTTCTGATTTTGCATTTAGAAAGATTTTCCCAACTGAAATTATCATTTTCGTGAATTTGATTTTGGATTTGTAAGCATGTCATCAACAAGGTTTTTAAAGAAGAAATATATCTAAGAGGTATTCTGTCATATTTGTATTTTTAAAGGTAGATAAAATCAACAGAAAATAGTCATAGTTATCAGATAACTATTTTATGAAATTTTGATACTGTTACATTCCATTTTTAACCTGGTTTAAATATCACTTACACTTTCTATAACCTTGACCTTGTGATAGTGTGTTTTTGGGGGATCGAGTTGACCACATATTTTAAATAGTTGTTTTGCTATCAATAAATTGTCTAATGAGGTTAAATTCTGGATGTGCTCTTTGATGAATTTTGATATTGGAATTTATGAGTTTGATACTATCTAGTTCTGTAACTGGATTCTGAGACATTTGCAGGTAAATTTAAGCAATTTCATTTGAGGCATATGAAAATGCTAAACTTTCACTATTAGTTATGTGAACTCTCTCAATAAAGGATGTCAGATATCAGTGAGTTGACAGATAAAAATGCAGAGTGAATTTAGGTGCTCATTAATAGGAGAGGTTTGAGATTTTGATGCCTAAAATTTATACAGTGAACACTGAACACTATGACTGATTAGCTTATCTAAAAATATTCAAGTTTCTGAGACTAAGGTACCATTGGTCAAATGGATAACAAACATGTCCCTTTAAACATGAGCATGCCAAAATTTGACATTTATTTGGTTTGAAATTTTTGAACAAATTATATAATATATTATGAAAGATTATAAAGAATGTAATGAAAAAAAAAATTATGCTGCTCAAGCAAATTTTCAAATTTTCAAATTTATTTCCTCACCTCTTTCATGACATATATCAAATTGAGACATCTTATTTTTGACACTTTTAAAAAAAATATTAGTTTAACCTAGAACTCCAGTTTGTAAGGTTGAATGCTTTTAATGTCTCTTTTAACTGTAAATACTTTTATTAAAACAACTTCACCTTGTATTATGAGACTGAGGTTATGTGGTCTAGGCAATCACTGTTACATGCAGTATAAATAGTGTGAACTAGAATTGTGTTTTTATGTCTATGATCGCAGGTACATGTTTTTCAAATAACAATATTTGGAATGTTTTACAAGTTAATAAAGAATTGTCAAGTACATTGTGATAAATGGATGGAAATTTTTAAGTGTGAAATTTTGTTTGTCTACTCCTTACCTATGGTACTATATGAAATTGTGATTTTGCTTACATTGGGAACTGATTATAACTTTTTTGGCATAATTTTTTTAATGTAATTTCTCTGTTAATATAAGTGTGCTTAAAGGGACAGTGTCACCATTTTCATGGGTTGATTTGTGGCTTGAATATATGTAAAAAGTCTTCATAAATACATGGTTTTGAAGGCTCAAATATTGACATTAAGCTGTGGACACTATTACTGATTAGCTTAGAATTCCTGTTTCTGAGACTAAAGTACGATTGGTCAAATGGATGGCAAATCTGTCCATTTAAACAGCAATCTGTAAAATCTTGATTAATTTGAATGTGGAAATCATTACAAAGCTTACATACAGATCTACATGGTTTGAGATTTTAAGCATGGATAAAGTTTGATGGCTACCTGACTTCGTAATTTTAAATACATAACAAAGTTTAACAGTTAACTAATATGACTCGCTTTTGTCATGAATAGATCTTTCTATATGTGACTGTTTAAAATTTCAACACACCTTATCATAGTCATATTGTTATTTATTATTTTCAGCCTCTCCTAAATTCCTTGTATAAGAAAAGTTATATTGCATGTGTAGAGTTATAATAAATAATATAGTATTGTATAGGGTGTGGTGTGATCTAACACGATCGTATTTTATCATTGTACAATACACGATACACTTTCACCACACAACACATTCGATCAGAGATCAATAATTGATGGGTATTTGTCATAGGAAGGTGAATTGATTTCTGATATAGAATTTCCGGTTGGAATATTGTTGTAGTGAGGTACTATTTTGAAAAACTAATTCTCAACTATTTGGTATTGATGACAATGTATATGTAGGTAATAACTGGTGAACAGTCAATAAATGATGGGTTTTTGTCAGAGGAAGGTAAATTTATTTATTTCTACAGTTTGATTTCTGATTTAGCAATTCTGACTAGAATGTGTTTCTGGTGAGGTTTTTTTTTGAAAAACAAAACTTCAACTATTTGGAAGTGGTGTTGAAATGAAAATGTAGGTAATGATTTTTACAATATGATCATTTGTTTGATTTTGATTTCTTATAAGGCAACATTTGGTTTTGATTTTCTCAGATGGTAATTTTTTTATTTTTATGAAGTGTTCATAGGATTGTTAATTGATTACTATAAGTTCGTAATATAATGATAATTAAGGAATGACCTGAACATTTTTTCCGTTAAAACGGAATCATGATTTAATTATTTGTACATATACATGTATCAAATAAACACAAAAAATGACAAATGTACATGATTGCAAATTTACATAATATTTACATAGAAATAGAGATATTAATACTGAATGTCATTCTACAATTGATGCATTGAGCACTATTTTAACAGTGATATTTCTATATCGCTCTACAATTGGTGTATTGAGCACTATTTTAACAGTGATATTTCTATATCGCTCTACAATTGATGCATTGAGCACTATTTTAACAGTGATATTTCTATATCGCTCTACAATTGATGTATTGAGCACTATTTTAACAGTGATATTTCTATATCGCTCTACAATTGATGCATTGAGCACTATTTTCACAGTGATATTTCTATATCGCTCTACAATTGTTGTATTGAGCATTATTTTAACAGTGATATTTCTATATCACTCTACAATTGATGCATTGAGCACTATTTTAACAGTGATATTTCTATATCACTCTACAATTGTTGTATTGAGCACTATTTTAACAGTGATATTTCAACATCACTCTACAATTGTTGTATTGAGCACTATTTTAACAGTGGTATTTCTATATCACTCTACAATTGTTGTATTGAGCACTATTTTAACAGTGGTATTTCTATATCACTCTACAATTGTTGTATTGAGCACTATTTTAACAGTGGTATTTCTATATGGCTCTACAATTGATGTATTGAGCACTATTTTAACAGTGGTATTTCTATATCGCTCTACAATTGATGTATTGAGCACTATTTTAACAGTGGTATTTCTATATTGCTCTACAATTGATGTATTGAGCACTATTTTAACAGTGGTATTTCTATATTGCTCTACAATTGTTGTATTGAGCACTATTTTAACAGTGGTATTTCTATATCGCTCTACAATTGATGTATTGAGCACTATTTTAACAGTGATATTTCAATATCACTCTACAATTTTTGTATTGAGCACTATTTTAACAGTGAAAATATTTTATTATTGTAACATATTATATTTACTTTATCATTATGATACAAGATGACATGATATCAAATGATTCTAAGATTAACATATTTTACAAGTCATAATTTAAAAGACATCTCATATTTTATCATATTATATTCTATATATAAAAAAACAACCTGTATTTGTAATGCAATAACCAAAAATTATTTTGGATTTTTATGCCATGTGAAATTAAATATTTTTCTAATTTTCTAATTTCAGGATCATCCCTAGATTTGACGCCAACATTGTTAACAATTTACGATTCCAAGGTAGCAGGAACTACAGAGGATGATCACCTGGAGCAAGCAAAACTTAAATCGCAGTCCTTACCAGCGTCTGTGTCTACTAGAGTTGGAAAGGAACCAAAAGTGAACATTCAACATGATTTTGATAAACGTCATACTGTGATAGACCCTCATTCAGTTGAATTAGACGATTCACTTAGCGATAATCGTAAACGGCCTTTAAGTATAAGTTCTATGTCATCAGCCTCTTCTTCATCATTACCACGGCAACAACGAAAACGTCCCAATTTAAAGGAATACGATCATTTGTTAATTAAAAGTGACTCTAGTATATTGAACGGATGTATTAAAGATGTGAACGGAAATACGAAAACTGAACCGATGGATATCATGTCTGCAAGATTTGAACGCAAGATACATCAACCTGGAAAGAATGATCTTTCTGGCTTGAAACATCTGGAAAGTTTTTCGAAAAAATCTGATCATGATAAAAACAAACCAAGATCAAAAACTGAAATAGTGAACAAAAATGAGTCAAAAGTAGACTCCAGAAATAATGTGAAAATTGAAGTGATCAAACCCATCATTACTGTGAGACGGTCCCTTTCGGATGCAGACGCATATGCTGTGACAGCGGCTTTGGAGAATCATAAAGCAAGTGCTAATAAAAAATTGAATTTGACTCATGTAGGCAGTGATTCCAATGGAAATACGCTAAAACCTCCAAGCCCACGTGATGGCCCTGAAAGTCCTATCACCTCTGACACTCCCGATGGACCTATGTTATCCAAACCTGTACCTCAATATGTGAGTTATGTGAATCGGGTGGTAGCTGAAATTATCGAAACGGAAAGAACATATGTCAAAAGTTTAGAGGATATCATTCAGGTAAGCGTTTCATTCATCCATTGATAAAGATCTGGCCTTTCTTTCTATCAATGATCATTCAGTTCATTATAAAAGATCTTTCAGTATGACAGAGACATAAACCCGTTTTACATTACAAAATTTATCTGTTAACGGAATGGAAGAATTGTGTGTAATGTAAACAGAACGGTTCTCCAATCAGACTCGATAAATTGGTGTAATGTAAACGGTAACCGTTCCAAGAACGCTTTAATGTGCATGCCGCACATAGATCTTCACATTTTCCGGCTCAATTTCATCAATATTCAGTACAATTGTTGTTTATATCCAGTTGTCTTCAATTACATCTTGGTGATGACAACGATTAATTTTAACTTCTTCAGGAAGAGTTCCACAGATAAGCGTACCGATAACGCTTTTCATTTGCACTACAACTGAAGAACCATTCTCAGACCACTTGAGTTTACTTGGGCACATTTTATCGCGACCTTGTCTGGACCGAGAATGGAACGCTTCATAGTGGCGTGGTGTAAAAAGGGCTATATTTCTGAATACAATTTGCTCTATCAAATAATTGAATAATAGCTCTAAAAAAAAAACCTCAACAAGGGTATATCAGACATCCAAATTGTTTCATATAAGAAATTTAAAACTTTATTTATAGACACCTCCAACTGTGATAATTGTGTCTATCTTTATACAAATAGTCTCACAATAATGACATAAGAATAAAAATATTTCAAATCCGCTGACCGTGAATACAAACATTAAAAATTATTCCAACCATTAATATTTCAAATTCCTATTAACCTAAATCTACCTAGACATTGACCAACATTATTGAGAGATAAGGGACCCCTGGTTGGATGTGTGTGGTATTGTTGTCATGCTAACTTCATTAAAATTAGCCCCTGGTCATCCTTAAACCCTCCTTAGTCTCTCTTTGATGTTTGATACACAGAGTTAAAATGATACCGGAAACTGCTGGGCACTTGTAGATTTTGATAACACAATTTCAAACCTCTTTAATTGAAATTAATTTAGGTCATCTTATCTCTTCAGGGAATCATAATCTTAATATGGACCCCTATGATTCTTACTTATATAGTTAGTTTCACGTACATTTGTATTTTCTGGACTTGGTTCAAGAAACAGATGGCATGGAACATTTTTGCTGAAAGCTTCATCCTACAGATTTTGAAATAATTTCTTAAATGATAAATTCCTGATTTGTTTATTGGTACACTAAATTATGCAAATTAGCTGATATATTAACTTTGTTTAAGTGCAAACGGTTGTAAAAACAAAATAATTGAAATTACGAAGGTAATGGTATGCCAAATCTAAGCATTAAATATTTGAATTCAAACAGAGGCCTGCGGTTTACCTTTGTCTAGTCTTAGATGTTTTCTGAACAAAACTGATTAAAAAGTGCATAAGATAGCTTAAAAATAGAGAATAATATGTAATTTTCTGAAAAAAAATGTCTGACAAGGTGAAAATAGGTAATAATAATATAAACAGCTTACTTCCTGTATATATAAATGATAAATAACGGAAACCAGACAAGTTAATATCAAGTGAATTATAATTATATTTAATTTTTGTGAGTTTCTTCTAAAAAATATAAAATTCTGAAGGTTATATACTTACCCAAATTTTCAAAACTTTAAATGAACAATAATGAATAGCTGATATCTTAAGTGTTAGGAGGTGAAAATGAAAACACCAAGCGCTGGCTCAGACATCAAAATTTTCAAAAACTGAAATTGCCTAGCTTACTTTTGTCAAGATGCAGAAATGTTTGATAGTAATGTTACTTCATCATTCCTTAGCAGACAAATTGGTATTGTTTTCTTAAGATATTAGGGTGGTTGAAAGGTAACAAGTTACTAACCAACAGAAGGCACTGTCACAGGGTTAAAGCAATGTTTACAAATGTTAAAATCAAAATTTGTACTCGTAGTCCAAATTCGAAATGTTAGGAATTAAAAGGAAAAAAGTCATCACTTTTTTCAAAATGGTGGCTGACATATTTCAAGAATAAAACAAAAGGCTGCTAAGTGACTTATTCTAAGTACTGGTACCATCTCAGTTAGTTGTTAATATATAATGAAAAATATTGAGACTGTATCTCTATAAGCTCAACTACCGGTACCAGTAAATGAACTTTGTAAAAGGATTCCTGCAGATCAATTCTGTGTTTTCTTAATAATGATGATAGATACAACACTGACCTATCATCTAATTAGTCAAATTATATATGACTGGTATATTAACCTTTGAACTGAGAGTATTTAATGTAAAAATGATGTAGTGTTGATTGATCTAAGATTGTGCTTTCAGTTAGTTTAGTTTATATCAACTGAAACCATATGTACCACATCTACCTATCAGTGTTAGGTCTAAAGTTAAATGAAATCAAGGGATAGAGTTGTCCAATTTATAATTTTGATTAAAACTACCCTTAACACTTTTCAGTTTGTACATCTCAATTTCGATTTGATGTCTTCTGTTGAATTTTCAAAGATGCCTAAAATGAATGTGACTCCGAACTTTTAAGCTTGCAGAATCATTCCAAATGGCCGTTACCAACTGACATCATAACATTAACTCCATATTACTTGAATTCAAGTTCTTTTTTTTTTCTTCACACTCAGTGTTCAAAGGGTTATATTACTTGTAAGATTACTAAGTAAGTAATTATGAAAAAATTGAACTTGTCAAAGATATTTTATCTTCTCTAACTACACCATTTTAAGTTATTAATAATTCTTATCAGCTATCTTAATTTGATAAAAAATACAAAATATTTAAAAAACTTGTGCCAAAAATAAATGATTATATTGAGAGGTTTGATAAGAACTCAGTCTAAACATTTCTGTTCTTACAATAATTTATTTATTTTAATTTCTCCATTTAATTTATTTATTATATTTTGACTTTCATCTGAAATTCCAATATTATCTGATTACATTCCAATTTCCATTTTTTTTTTTTTTGGCTTGGCAAAAATTGTGCAGTACATGTTTCTCAAAATATTGTAGATTAACACATGAGCATAACAATTAACCATTGTTAACGTCAAAATTAACGTGTTTCTTCACTTAACGTACAAGTTTAGTTGTATGAATTTTTGAGAAACATGGTCCTGGTAGGGTACTGAAGAAACAACACCACATAAGTATTTCTTTAGACTGCTACATCTTACTTCTCTACATCTTACTTTTCTACATCTTACTTCTCTACATCTTACTTTCCTACATCTTACTTCTCTACATCTTACTTTTCTACATCTTACTTTTCTGCATCTTACCTTTCTACACCTTACTTTTCTACATCTTACTTTTCTACATTTTACTTTTCTACATCTTATTTTTCTACATCTTACCTTTCTACATCTTACTTTTCGACATCTTACTTTTCTACATCTTACCTTTCTACATCTTACTTTTCTACATCTTGCTTTCCTACATCTTACTTTTGTGCTCTTACTTTTCTACATCTTACTTTCCTGCATCTTACCTTTCTACACCTTACTTTCCTACATCTTACTTTTCTACATTTTACTTTTCTACATCTTACCTTTCTACACCTTACTTTCCTACATTTTACTTTTCTACATCTTATTTTTCTACATCTTACCTTTCTACATCTTACTTTTCGACATCTTACTTTTCTACATCTTACCTTTCTACATCTTATTTTTCTACATCTTACTTTTCTACATCTTACTTTTCTGCTCTTACTTTTCTACATCATTTTGATTTCAAAGCACATGTAATCAATGCAAGATAAATTGTTATATTAAATTGTATAATTTCAGGGTTATTTAGAATATTTAGAAGAAAATGATAATATAAAAGTTGGAAGTGATGATGTTAATTGTCTATTTAGTAATATCAGAAGTATCTATGATTTCAGCAAGTAAGTTAAAAAAAAATATCCAATATTATCTGTATTTGTGAAAATTAAAGGTCATCTTTCATGTGAGATTGTACTTTTGAATGCAAGGAAGGTTCACTATCTGGGAGAAATCTTTTCTTTGACTTAAGTGGCCTGTACTATGCAAAGAAGGTGACCTTTTCGAGATACTCAACTACATTATTGTTGTATTGGGTTGTATTTGTGGTAGAGACTTTTCATTACTATCTCCAGGAGCGACTGGTCTAGATTATCATAGGAAAGGTCATCTTTATCTGAAAGAAATGGCAGCTCTATCATTGCTAAGGTTGTTTATATTTAAGGTTATTCCAAGACTATCCTTATTTGATAGTCTAGACTTATTTTGGAAAATCAAGGTCATCTTTATCTGAAAGAATTGGTAGCTCTATCATCGCTATGGTTGTTTATATTTAGGGGTTATTCTAAGACTATCCTTACTTCAGAGTCTGGGCTTATTTAGGAAAATCAAGGTCATCTTTATCTTTACAGAATTTGTTATGGATGCAAAGGTTTTTAAGGGTCAGACAGAACTTTATCAAATCATATGTCCTCTTATTCAGTTGACGTAGTTTTCCTGAAGTATTCAGAGGAAGGAAACATAAACAATGAAAATGACCATTTAGACGGAAGGTCAAATGGCCACCAAGTATCTAAATTTGGAATAAATGTAAATATATAGCCTGATTATTGACACATGGTTTTATTTGAAGTGAAGAATAAGTGTCAAATTTGCCAGTTTTATGAGACTTATTTGATATGGTTGTCTGATAAGGTCAAAACTGAAAAAGGGGTTTTTGAATTTGAATTTTTGAACCAGGCACCCCTTCCGGGAAATCTTCCTGATTTGCAAATGGCAATCTTTTAAGAACATCCCATCTTACTTTGGGGCTATTGGTGTGTTAGTGTCTACACTCAGTATTGCTGATTTCATTTTCACCATCAAATCATGGTCATGTTGTGGAAATGTAGAACAGATTTTGATGAGGGCACATGAACTTAAAATGTTATTGTGACAAATTTTTGAGAACGATTTAAAACCTAAAAACATGACATCATCACTGATGTAGTTTTTCTCATCATTCAAAAGGAAATGATTCAGAAAGACAATTTAAACTTTGCATGTCTCTTGACAATGCGTTAGTAATTAGTCTAAAATTTAGATTTGGATTAAACCCAATGTAATGTTAGATTAAGGATTTGGACTAGTTTTAGTGGACCTGTGAAAGTTTATTTAGGCAATTCCCCAATCAAGAATGTCCAGTTGAGTCAATATTGCTGTGTAGTTTGTTTCAATGGTTTACATTAACGAAAGCTTGTTGTTTTCCTGTAGTCTGTACATATTAACAGGTTACTAGTTTAAAATTTATAGTACGCCTACATTCTGATGTATGTATTGATGTGTACAGAGCATAGTAGTAGTCCCATAGTCTTAGCCATAGTCAATCCATGGCATAGATTAAAATAATACCTTAGAATTTTTAAATTCGGTTACTTCCTGTCATTGCTGAGGCCTGAGTCACGAGCATGAAAAAGAATGTATTTAGGGCTCTGCACATTAAACAGCCCTCAACAGTTAGATATCAAAAAAAGCAAAATTTCTTCCATTGCCACTGCAAGGTGTTGCTGACATATTGCGTTGTATTGGTGATGTAAACATTGATATTTTATTGAATGTGAAATATCAATATTATCATATTTGTTGTTTGTTGTTGATATTTATATTTGTGTGATATTGATTGGTCAATATTATCTCTTGTTGTCATCACTCAGGATATTGATATAGTTTGTTCTTGATGATCAATAAGTCAATATTTTTGGTACATGTACACTTGTGTCATGTCATTCAGTAGCAAGTTTGTTGTGCACCCACACGAGCAGTCTTGGTCAGAGTTTTTTGTTGTCGATTGGAGTCTTGAATAAAATCTCACGTGTGCTCGTGCTTCCATCACCAAATTATCACGTCCCCGACAGGATCTATTATATCAAACAAGTTTGAAAATTATCTCTGATAGTTTTATCGTCTGTGCTTTTCATCATCCAATGAAATTCATTTTCCATTCTTTGCACTCTGCACGTTACTATCAACATGGTGGAAAACGATCGCCAGGAGATTTTTGCTAGTTGGCAAAACTCTTGACATAACTCTAGTAGGCTATAAAAATCTCCGACCAAGACCGTTCGTGTGCCTGCAAATTTATTATCATGAATTGCCATCTATAGAAAATTGTTTGGCTTGGCCTTCTAAATATGGATTGTCCTAGCTTCAGTCCATAACACTGTTTTCACAAGGAAATTTAAACTGTTTCATGTCTGGAACACTATGGTCAATCATGGACTTTAGTCATTCCTTGTAGGTTCCATCTTTGCAAATTTTCAGTTTTTTGACACTGCCCAATGCTTTGAATTTTAAGTTCATTTTAAGTCATTTGATTGTTAATGAAATTGTACCCCTTTTATACCCTATTAATGTATATAGAAATTGAACCAGTCTACCACCTTGTCTTAAATTAAAAGGATGATTTTCCGAGTTTATATGTAATTTCACAATACCTAGTGTTCTTGATAATAATAATGTTCACTGTGATATTTTTCAGGGTATTTCTAAGTGAGTTAGAACAATGTGAAAGAGAACCTATTAAAGTAGCCGAATGTTTTGTAAGAAATAATAAAGGTTTCGTTATTTATACAGAATACTGTACCAACTATCCTGGGTAAGTTGTATTTGGTTGTAAAAGTTTTGAAATGCTGTGAACCATCATGGATTTTTGTTATCCCCTAGGGATTATACAAAATGATTTGAAAATCTGTCTTTGGAGGATGGGGGAGGGGTCCAAAATGAGAGGTTTCTCTCAGAAGCAAGGCCCAAAGAGCAAAAGCCCCTCAAGATTTCAGAGCATTTAATGGGCATTTAAGACCTTTCACAGACCCAATGAGGGGCTGCCTAAAAATGCATTGTTTCAGATATGAAACCTTAGCAGGATAACTGTTTGTATTCACATAATAGATATAAAAATGTGATTTTTATGTTTTCAGTGCTGTTGAAGTCCTGACTAAATTCATGAAAGACCCAGAATTATCAGAATTTTTTAAAAACAGGCAGCAGAAGTTAGGTCATGGATTACCTCTTGGTGCTTATTTACTTCGTCCTGTTCAACGAATACTCAAATATCATCTTTTACTACAGGTTTGTCAAATCTTCTTTTGGGCTTATATTTGCAATATGATTAAGCTTATGACACATGTTAAAGATCAGTTATAACGTCAATATCTAGAGTTTTGCTTTGAATTTTGCTTTGGGCCTTTTTTAGTATTTTGATAGCTGTTGGCATATGGAGTACAGTCCTGTAAGTCCTACTTGTTTTAAAGTTTATCCCACAAGATAAACTTTTGGTTGGATTTTTATTTCAGAATATATGGAAGAGTTTTGAGAAAGACGAAGAAGGTTATGATATTTTAGAACAAGCATTTAAACATATGACCAGTATGGCCCACCATATTAACAATATGAAACGTCGCCATGAACACGCTATTAAAATACAGGAAATACAGAGTCAGTTAGAGGACTATACTGGTGATGATCTTACAAGATTGGGTGAACTTGTTTTAGAGGTACTATAACATAACTATTTTTTTTGGTCTTCATTATTTTAATCTGCAATACATGGCTGATCATCAAAAGCACCTTTTAAAAAGTTACAGAAGTTGTTACCCAGTTGTAAAAAACAATGGCTCTGAATGAGTAAGCAATTCAGCATTTGAAGGTGAAGGTCAAATTCTATTTTCATAACAAAACTACATTCAGGATTGTTGTGTATTTTGGAATACAACAGAGAACCTGCAGGATTGATTGCGCTAACTTTAAGATCACGCTTTTATTGTGTTACATATTTTATTTTAGAGTTCATTTCGAGTGCATGGTGCAAGAGCATCTCGTCACATATTTCTGTTTGAGAAGGAAATTTTAATCTGTAAAAAGAAAGATGGAGGAATGCTAAGTTGTAAATCTTCTATACAGGTAAGAGGAGGCTAGTATATCCAGATTGGGATTATGGGTATTGTGTCATTTTAGGATTGAGATTTTAGGAGTGTGATTCTTTACCTTAAAGTCTAAACCAACTTTGCATCTAATAAAGAAAATTTTTTGAATCATTCGTAGCCTTTGTAGTTTTTTACTGAACATGTCATGTCACATCAATAGAGGTAACTGAAGGGAAGACAAAAGTTTTGCGGAAATAACCGTATTTAAACAACCATCAGGACTTATATTTTCACTTCCACCTAAAATGATTTCTAAGATTGGAATTCTCATGCTGTCAGAGTGTTATGTATATAAAACCCATCTACAAAGTATTTGTGTAAGGATGGAGGTTAAATTTGTAACATATGTTTTCATGAGCAACTTGGTGCAGAAATTTGTTTAAATGTAGTTAATCCGTATATTGCTATATTTTTCAGTGTTCTAATCTAATGTTGGTAGAAGTTATTGACAACGAACCTCTTAGTTTTCATATTATACCATTTGATAATCCTAAAGCTCAGTATACACTACAGGTAAATATACCATTTGATAATCCTAAAGCTCAGTATACACTACAGGTAAATATACCATTTGATAATCCTAAAGCTCAGTATACACTACAGGTAAATATACCATTTGATAATCCTAAAGCTCAGTATACACTACAGGTAAATATACCATTTGATAATCCTAAAGCTCAGTATACACTACAGGTAAATATACCATTTGATAATCCTAAAGCTCAGTATACACTACAGGTAAATATACCATTTGATAATCCTAAAGCTCAGTATACACTACAGGTAAATATACCATTTGATAATCCTAAAGCTCAGTATACACTACAGGTAAATATACCATTTGATAATCCTAAAGCTCAGTATACACTACAGGTAAATATACCATTTGTTTTATATACTCACATTTATTGCCAACACCCTTGTCTATCTTTCTGTGAGCATTTCTCAACAGTGAATTAGATGCTACAATTTGAATGAAAAGAAAAGTAATTTCTAAACTGCTGTCATGGGCATATGTTATCTTGTCTTGCAAACTTTCTTGAACTTAAACTGTTCTGTCAAAAATGGTACAAACCTAAAATGACTGAATTTTTGTTGCCTTGCCTGGTCTGACTGATACAGAATTCATGTGTACTGATTTCCAACATCTTTTAGGCCAGAAATATGGAGCAGAAGAGAAGATGGTGTCAAGAAATTAAAAGATTAATATTAGAAAGTTACAGTGGGAAAATACCAGATAAAGTCAAAAGTTTAGTTATGGAACTGGGCAGAAATCATGATGAAGGTTAGTTTACTTAATTGATTATAAATTTTATGTACACATAATGCCACTCTGCAATTTGTTTACCAAATTTTACAATGCTGATATTCAAACTGTGGTTGTATTTTCCAGCTTTTTTTAACTTCTTTCTTTAGTTAAAAAAGAGCTTATCTTCTAATGTCAAGGCCGAGATAGAAGGCTTCAGTTTAGTTTGTAAATAGGAAAATACACTTGATTTGATTTAATAAACTCACAGAACAGAAGTGAAGAGTCAACAACAAAAAATTCTCCAGTACAAAACAGATGATAGTTTGGTGCTTGTGATTTAAATAAAGGAAACAAATCTTTTATCTTTTCAGATTTTGTGAGTACAGAGAATTTAGATGCCAGCAGAAAACATCAACATACAGCACCAGAATATTTGGAGAAGCGTCGAGTTCGGAGAAAATCAGGCGGCAAACTTCCAGGTAAGCATTACGTTTAGTTTCGGCATTGTTTTTCTGAGCATTTTGAGAATGTGTTGATATTAGATTACCGTAGATATTTATTCATTATTTTTTTGTGCTCATTCTGTTTTCTATGTTCTCACGGCTTGATGTGCATCCATCAGTTTTATTCTCATTTTGTACATGTGTTTTACAATATTCATGTGTTTTACAATATTCATGTGTTTTTACAATATTTCATGTGTTTCTTGATGTTTTTGTCCTATTACGTTACATTCTGTTTACAATAATTAGGCGAAAAAAAAAAAGGAATTTAAATACTCACCTCTGCTATTTCCCACAGCTATTTCTGTTTTCCTCAGTGCTTGAATTCACAAATTTTGATATTTTAGCAGGTGTGTCAAATTGAAAATTGCACTTTCTATCTGAAATGTAATTGCTTAAAAATTTGAATGCATTTTGATGAAAACTTCTTTAAAATAGCAACTTTTAATTCAAAAGTTTTAAGAACAGCCAAAATTTGAATTTCTTTTGTTCCCTACAAAATTTGGTTTTGACTGTTTCTACTAGGTGATGATTGCGACTTGTTTATTGACAAATATCTTTGTGAGTTGTCTTCTCTTATAACCATTAATATTGTGTTTAGCTGAGTATTGATTGTACTTACTGGAGCACTCTAGTTCTTATTGTTACCTTTAAGGGGATATTAAAGAGGTTCTCTTAACAATTTATGTGTATCATGGACACCATTGTAATATTCCTTCAGAAATTTGTGTTCCTTGCAATTCTAATTAAGCTAAGCATTTTATCACAAAGGCACTCATATATTCTTAGCTTTTGCAATTGTGAGTCTTATGACACTTAGCTTTAGTAGAACTGCATGAACCATAGACTTCTGATTGAAAATTGAAATGGTGCAAATTGATGCTATCAGCGTCCCCGATACAAATAACAAGTTTTTAAAACCTTTTTACAATCCCTTTGATTTCACCTGGATTCTATTAGCATGTTTATTTACATTGCATGATGTATTATACCAATCTTAAATAAATTCATATAACCTTTAACCTAATCCTACTGGAAGGCAGAGCTACAGCCATCTTGTTCATATACTGTATAATTGGGTATATAATACGCTAGCATGTATAATACGCACCCATATAATTATGTTGCATATTTTGTTGATATACATACATTGTATAAAGTTGGTTTCTAGTCCTCTGACACTTTTACTGATAATTAAATGGCAAGATTGTTTATTCTGGACTTGAAGTAATTTCTATTTAAAAAACAATTGTTGCTTAGTAACAGAAACTTTCCAAGATCACGGGAAAAAAGATTATAGGCATGGCATCTTTAAATTAAGTATTTGCATTAATTTCTTGATGGATAGGCTATTTGGTTTATAATAGAATTAAGGAGAGCTTCATTGGTTTGGTCGTGAACAGTTGTGCAGTTTTTCATTGCATGTTCCCAGGTTTTTTGCTTTGGGTTTGATGTCCCTTTGGATTTGATTTTGATATGTTTGTCTGTGCAGGGAACAATCTAACTGAAGGTTATCAAGTTTATTTTTTGATCATGATTTATGTACAAAATGATTTAATGGCTTGTAATGGGGTTTTCTGGTGTTTTATTGGTTTGAAGTTTAGTATCGTAATTTATGGATCTGTTCCATCTTGAATTTGAGGCCTTAGAGAGGCGCTGACAGTTTAAAGTAATGATTTAAATTCTGTGTTCCTCACAAAATTGGAATTTGCAAGTAAATATTTCCAAGAACTGATTGCAATTTCAAAATGATTCTGGATACAGTAGTTTGGTGTCAAAGGTTATATGAATTTATTTAGATTGTAACTTTAACGTTGTTGATTAATTTCATGAATGTTGGCGCCACATTTTACCCACAAATATCATAAAATCATTCCCTATGATAGTTCCATATATAGTTCCCTTCATATACAATTTACACCTGTTATACATCAAAATGTTAGCAAATATGTCTTTAATAGACTTTATTTTGGCTCTTGCTAGCAGGCAGTTTTTCCCTTCAGTACACATCAATACAAATGAACGAAACCAATGGTCTTTATATTCTCTATATTTGATCCTCTTCATTTGAAACCTCAAGGAAATAAGACTTGATATTGCCTGCCCAAGAATACCAACCTTTCCTTCTTTTAGAAGAGTCGCTGTATGAATTTTGTCAAGTCATAATCCCTCGGTGTTAATAATTATTTTTTTCTTTTTAGAATTTCATCTATTGAAGGCACAGAAACAGAAACGAGGTAGTTATAGAAACCCAATCACTTAAAAAGACTATCAATGATGATCTAGAGCATGTTTTCGGAACACAGTTGAATTCATTTAGTTAATGTGGTCATATGACTTTGATTATTTGATAAAATATCCCATTTAGGCCTAAATCATAGATGAATTTCAATCAATAATACTTTATGATAATTTTGCACTCTATTAATAATGTTTTTCTGTTTTATTTTTCAGCAAACAGAAGAAAAGTAAGTATGATTTTTGTCTTATTTTAATAATTATAAAGAGATAAGCGTATCTTTTCAGGGATTTAAATTTAGTATTAGAGTTTCTGTTTTTTTTTATATAAAGTTCATAATGTGACATGATGTTTTATTTTATGTGTTTTCAGTCTCCTGATAGAAGAAGAATATCTGGGGAAACCAATAAAGATAAAGACAGGAGAGGTCGGACATTGGATGTTGTACCTAGAACTGGACAGAAAAAATCGCAATCTTTGCCTCGTGGTGAATTGGGAATATTCAGTGATTTTGATATTTCGGATAGATCTCTTTTGGACAGTACTTTAGACTCTCCTGGTGTACAAGATAGTTCAATGGATATTACTCCAGAGGTTACTAAGAGAGCTCAAAGTTTCAGACGTGCGGTACGTCTGGGTCCAATTTGTTCTGCTGATTTGTCAGACGTGAAAGTGGATTTTAATTCTAAATCTGATGTGATGGACGTGGATTCTGATACAGATGATCCAAATTTAACTCAAGATCATCTAGCAGAATACAATGATTGTATGTTTACTAGTCGTTCTGATCTGGATGAGGAAACAGACACGGATCATTGGGTCCAGCAGTCGCAAGAAAATTTAGAAAATTGTGATAGTTTTGGAAGTGATCATACACTTGTTAATGGGGTCAATGGAGATCATTTTCGATCTAAATCTGAAGTGATTGTATCACCAAG